GTGACGAAAAGGGAAAACCTGTAAATCATTTCACTCATTGAGTGACATGATTTACAGGTTTTCCCTTTTCGTCACTCTTATCCAATCAAATAGGAATAATGTATTTCTAATTAAAAAAATTAGAACCGAACTATTCTAGAACCATAAATATGTTTTCATAAGAATCGATGCATTTGCAAAAAATGATGTACCTTTGGTCTGATTTTGTAGATAAGTAAAATCCATTTCCTTAGTTAGAAATCGCTTTTCTTAGTTAGAAATCGCTTTTCTTAGTTAGAATTCGCTTTACTTGGTTAAAAATTCAATGAAAATAAATTATGCTTTATATAATGTATGACTTTCTATATTCATATCTTCAAAAAGCATTTCATTTTACAAATTGCGATAATACAAGAAAAGATCTATAGTAAAAAAATATAAATAAGCACATAAACAGCGCGTAAAAAGTTTATTATAATTTTAAAAATCGCAATTATACAATTTTTAACTCATAATAAATATACGGGCGACACTTAAAATTTTAAATTTTACTATAACAACCATAATTCTACATGAAACAGAAATATTTTATTATTTCATTTAGTTTGCTTGTGTTTTTTTTCCTTATTCATGTTGAAAAAACTCACGGGTCTCATCCTAAAGGTAGTGTATAATAATTTTCAAATAATTCTTTATCCCATTGTTTACAAATCTTGGGTATAAAAAAAAAATAATTAAAAAAATAAATTACCACTTTTTTCGTAGCCTATGGTGCTAAAATTACAACTGCCCGGTCTGATAAATTATTGACTAAGAGACTCAATCTCGATCCACCTCCGGAAGAGGAAGTTGAGATTCCAAGTAATCCTCCTCCTCCTTGTCGGGATGATGTGTTTAACGGACCTCTTCCTATACTTGACGGTTGTGGGGATCAGAAAAGATCTGGCATGTTGATTTTCAAACAATTCTTTATCAATCATTATTCACAAATCTTCTGTAAAAAAAAAAAAAATTAAATTAATACTTTTTTTTCATAGCTTGTGGTGCTAAAATTATCGATGCTAGATGGCAAAGACTGTCCGAGGATGGGGTGCATAATTTAAGGGCAATTGGGGCATATCTCAAGATGACGGTTACTACTCCTGAAGGTAAACCAAAATGGATAGGTGACGTTTCCTTTAATTATGACAATGGTATCCCAGTTCATATTATAGATAAACTTGAGCCTATTCCAAATCCGCAAAATATATTCTTTTGGACTTATTCTTCTATGGCAACACCTAAGAATATATTGGCTGATGTTTGGGCTACAGTACTTTGGAATTGTGATGATAATAATAAATGTGCTTCTGAATTTGTACATTTACGAACTTTTGTCCCTTAACACATTGCATTTTAAATATCTTTAATTTCTTTTATTATATTTTAAATAGATAATAAGTTCATAAATATAAATAAATTTATTATAAATAGCCAAACAGGTGATATGAGTATATAGAGGAATAATAAAAAGAATGGAGTAGGTAACGACTAATTCTAATAGAAAAAATAGAGACTAATACGATTTTGTGCGATTGTCGGGTGTCAATTGAGGGTCTTGGCAACTTTCGTGGTAACAATGTATGAGAACAACCTTAGTTACCTATTTTTGTGTATTACATTGCAATTTTGATACAAAACAAATTATTCGAACAAACGTAACTAACAGTGTGTAACTTTTATATTAATTGCACAAATATAAATACACTCCGGTTGATCGTAATTTTTAAGTAGGGATGGCATATGATTTAAATTATGATGATATAAATCACTGATTTTTTATTTAAATCAATATAAAGCATGATTTAAATCATTTATTACGTAATTAAATGACTTGAATTGCAATTGATTAATTTTTAATTTAGTATAATAATTTAGATGTACGATCAATTGATTAATTTTTGATTTAGTAATATAAATAACAATAATTTAGATGTACTGAAAGTCCTGCTTTTAAAGACGTTCGTTCACAATTTATGAAAATTACTGGCACAGACAAGCATAGTCGAAAAACACCTCGTCAAATGTGCATCCACTGTAAAGAGGATACTATTGATATAATTGATCGTTTAAAAGATCGCTTAATGAATGCAAAAATCTTTCATAAGAAAGAAAAAATTCATTAGATTTTATCACTTCAAAAGATCGAAAAAATATTACAGTTGACTCTCTATAAGTGCACGTTATCGGGGGATGTGCATTTATAGAATTGTGCATTTACAAAGAGAAAATATTGTGGCTTAGTTTAAATTTATAAAACAGAATAATTATAAAAAAAAAATATAATATTAAAAAAATTTTATTAATAAAGTGAATTTTATGAATACAAAACTGAAGCTCAAATTGCTATCAAAGTTTTTATAAATTTAAAAAAAATTCCTCGCAGATAGTTATTAAATGTTTTTAATTATTTGAATTAACAAAAAAATTCATTTATTTTTTGTTAATTACTTTGCTAAATTTTGCAATCAAATTAATATATTCTCTTGTGTTATTTTTTTGTTATAAGAGATATAAAAAAAGTGTATCAAGTGCATCCAATGCTTCTTTTTTTGTAACCTCATGCCCTTCATTATTAGAATCTGCAGGTTCCTGGTTTATAACTTCTTCACTTGTTAAATCTATGATTTTTTGATCAGTAGGCAGCATATTGGTCATATTTTGTTCTAAAAATTCATCAACTTCTTTAGTTACTTGAATATCACTTAGTTCATTAATAGTTGTAAATGAATTCTCAGTATTTACTCCTATCTCTTCATTAATTTCTGATTTTAAAATTTCTGAAAGAATTTTTGTATGATTAAAACAATTTTTAATCATTGTTGAAGAAATATTATTTCAAACATTTACAATAAACTTTATTGCAATAAGTACATTAAGATTATTTTGTTTTTGTTCATTATGTTGTTCAATCTCATATTTATTTATAATCCATCGAAAAATTGGGATTTATAATGGCTTTTTATAACATAATTATTCTTGCATCCAATGGCTGAATTTTACTTGTTGTTTTAGGAGAAAAAAAATGTAACTTCGTATTTCTAAGAGTTATACCATCAAATTTATGACTTGCAGCATTATCTATTAAAAGTATAACATTATGCCCAGTCATTTTTTGATCAAAATCTTGTATCTATTTATTGAATATTATTGTATTTATTCAAGCAAATTTATTGGCCTCATATGTTACACATAGGTTATTTCGATTAACATACTTAAAACATCATGGATTTAGAAATTTTCCAATTATAAGTTGTTCATGCTTATCATTTTCATTAGCATTTATACAAAAAGCAACTGTTAATTATTCTTTATTTTTTTTCTGTCTTTTAAACTTGTTGTAGTCAGTATAGTATCAGGTTCAAGATGATAGAATAATGCTGTTTTATCCATATTGTATATATCTTGAAGATTATATTGAGCTAATAAAATTTTTAGTCCAGAAATTGTAGTATCTGCAGCATTATGATCAGCTAAAGCATCTTCTCCATGATGCTTAATCTTAGAAATTCTATATCTTTTTTTAAATTTGTCTAACCATTCTACTGAAAACTTGAATTGATTTATAGACAAATTTAGAAGCTGTGCAAAACATTTAATCTTTTCTGTTAAAATTACATCTATTATTGTTATATGAGCTTGATATTGTATAATTCCCTTATGCAATACATGATCAAGCTCTTCATAATGAACTGGTTTTATTCTTTTTGAGAAAGAACCTTCTTTAATATTATTTTTTTATTTCAATAAATGTCCAATTGTAGTATGATGAATATCAAGATTATATATATTTTTTATCCATTTAATAGTATTATCATGTGTTTCATTTGGATTTTCATTTCTGTGTTTAATAACTTCTAATCTTTGCTCATCTGTGAACATAGTTCTGCTAACCTTTTTGGTAAGCATAAGCAATTTAGGATAACAAATAATAATATAAACTTACTTTTATCTTTATTTTATTTTATTTATTACATTATAAAATCATATTATTAATAAATTAATTTTTTTATCATACTACGTAATATTACACAAAATTTATTGAAAAATCAAATGATGTGCACTTATAGAGAGAAGAGGTGCACTTATAGAATGTGCACTTATAGAGAGTTGACTGTATATACTGTAATTAATATCAATATATATATATAATATATTTATTTATATTAATATTAATTAATTTAGAATCTTCTATTATGTTATCTATAACCAATTCTACTTTATTAGCAAATATATTACCATTATATTCTATAACTCTTAATACTAAAAAGAAATCATTACTAAAATCTAATGTTCATATTACTAAAAATATGACATTTCAAGATTTATTTAATTATGTATTTTCCAATAGTCCTCTAACTAGAATATAGTTTATAATTAAATCATTACTAGAAATAGATGAACAATTTTTTTACCTGAACAAGTTATTAGTCAGGTATTTAAGCAAACACATAGTTATATTTAGATAGATTTTAAGAATATTAAAATAGAATTTGATGATTTATTTGATTAATTTATTATTATGATTTATTTAATTCATTAATATGCTTTATGTATACAAATAAATATGTATAATATTAATATATAAGAATGATATATAAGACATAATTAAATTAAATTTAATCTTTTATAAGAGATTTGACTCACTTGTGAAAAAAGTCACAAGGTGATACATTATTGTGAATTACTAGACTATGCAGAGGCTATAAGAATCTTGAACTTTTTTATATGAAAAGTAGAAATATGATATAGTACTACATATTAATTAAGATTTGTATTTATAATGATATAAAATCATTTTGTAGAGGATTTAAGTGATTTGATTATCTTTGAATGCTTTGTTATTTTTTTGCTATTCAATCTTTGTGTTTAGTACTACTCATATCCCAAAAGACATAAAATGAAATTAATAGAGATTTAAAAGAAATAAGTTTGAATAAAGATATATAGAAAGAATTTAAACAGAGAAGAATAATGAAAATGTTGAAATAGACCAAAGGCAATTCCTCATTATACAGTTAATTCTAGGTAATAATGAATCTTCCTATAACAAATTATAGATATAATGAACTTGAAAATTTAAAATTTTATGATAGTTCAGTATAAAAAATAGTATGGGTTCTTAAGAAAATATAGTAATTTTATATAACAAACTTTTTTTTTCTTCTAGAATCTTTAGTTTGTTATAAAAAGAATTGACTGTATATATTAATTGTTTTAGTCTATAGTTTTTTTTAAAAAATTCTGGATTAATAATTATCACAGCTGATGCTGAAATCTAAGGCTTTGATTTAAAAATATAAGCTTTGATAGAATTCACATATACTCTTTAACTAGCAATTCTATTCTTAAATTTTAACCTAAGTCTAAAAAAAAAGGTGAGAAAAACTCTCAAAAATTTTAAAAATTTCATAACAAAATAAGTTTAATTTTAACATCAGCTGCAACAATAATTTTTAAATCTATATTATAAGCCCGATTTTTGAGGTCACAGATGACCAAATCGAAGCAACAATCCTGACCCAATCAAAGGTCACACGGACATGATGGAAATGTCACTTATGTTACTTATATCACTTCTATGACTTAGCCTACATATGAGTTAAATAAAATATTAGTGTTTTATTAGACTTAGTTAGGATATAGCATATAAGAAATCTGATGCATTTATGAAAGAAATTAACTGTAAATATAAACAAAATGTTTATTATAAATAAAGAGCATTTTTGCCTTGGAAGAAAACAATTCCTGCCTTCCTAACAACAAATCCCCTAATAACAAATAAATACTCGACCCTTAATAAACTTGAAAGTCTACCTTATACAAACTAATAAACCATTGTAAACCCCATTGTTATCCCTATCGTTCATTCAAATAAACCCTTAAACTCATCTTTGATTGTTAACTACAAGTCACATGACAAGACTGTTAATGTAATAGAGGAAGTTCCAACCCTGATTCGACATAGTGTAATTATGGGTTGAGCCATAAAGAGAAGATAAAGAGAAAATAAAAAAAAGACAAAGAGTTAGTAGAAGCCAGGTTAAAGGAAAGCCCTAAAGAGAAGATTACAACTTACCTACAGATAAACCACCCAGCCAAATCTAATATGCCTAATTCAACTTAGCTACCGTAGGTTATGCAAAAGTTGGATTAATTTAGCAACAGACTCACTGATTCTGGAATCACAATATCTATGATATCAAAATGGTTTGATTTTTAATATATTTTTTTTTTTTTTTTAATATTAATGGTGAGGCCATGCCTCTATCTTTATTGAATATTTAATTGAGATTTTACAT